CTGCCAAAGCAAAGTTTTGTTCTCGTACAACCTCCTTTAATCCTCGAACACATCACCACATGCCGCTGCCAGATACATGAGGCTGAATCAAAACATTAAAAAATCGGTGATATTTCCTAAGGGGCTTCTACGGGATCAGCGCCATAAGTTGTAGGCTTTGGATTCCCAGACTTCAAAGACCTCACAACAGAACTGAACGGCAACTCTGAACCTTCAGCTGAACCAGACAAGAGTTAAAAACAAACATAGACTCTTTGATACGGGTTGTGAGTGTAGGCTGGTTACCGTTTTCCAGTAATAATAAACAGTGAACAGTATATTCATAAATGTTCACGGACAGACTGAAGAGGCACCAGACAACACATAAGAGCTCAGCGGGTAAAGAGCTGGAGAAGGATGAGGACACAGAGGAGGAAGAGTGAGGGGAAGCGCTGGAGGAGGAAGAAGAGAAGGATGGGGGTTTTTATTTACAGTAAGAAAAAATAAAAGAGGATAACAGCGGAAAAGGAAGAGAAGGAAACAGGTTGAGCAGGATGAAGGTAATTAAAAAATAAGAGGAAGAAAAGAGAGAAGAAAAGCAGAAAAAGTGAGAAAACAGGAGGCGAAAAAGAAAACAAACCACACAGTAACATTTCCAGTTTGCTCAGACGAGGTAGAAGTTTGAAATCCCACAGCTGAACCACTCTATTGGATTATGCAACCACAATAACACTTAACTGGGACAGGATATTATTGCTTCATATAGGGAATAAAAATACACTAGCGGGTAATAACCAGATAAAATCCATTAAAAACACAACACCAGCTGGACTCCAAAAAAGTTTTGTTGGTAAAATCTAGTTTGTTTTTGCAAAGAGAGATGAGCAGGAACATGAGGTTTGTTGACTTGTCCTCCTGCCTATTAATGACTTGTTTCAAGCACTGGTGTTGGAAATGGTTGTTCAGACAAGAATAAAGTGCACTTAGCGTGTGATGCATAAACTTCAGATACTTCATGGGTTAACAGCATAAAGTGGGAAAGACAAGAGGTTCAAAGATTTTAGCCTCCTCCACTCAAAAACCTGTTCTGGTCAGTGGACTGCATAAAATTACGATGTTTTATTTATACTGTTTGAATCGTAATTGACTCAAACTTGAGGTGAAAAATCCTAATAGATGCTGGATTTCTGATTTTCTTGCAACATGAAGCCATAATTATTAAACTAAGACAAAAAAAGTCTTTATAATATTATTTCATCTATTGTGTAATCAATATAGAGCAGATTAAAGTTGATCTGTTTGAATTAAATTACAAAAAAAAACTATTCACATTTTGACAGTTTCTCTGATGGACTTCTCACGTCTCCTGTTTTTATTCGTCACATTCATGAGACAGCAGCTGGCGTCCTGTGATGACACCAGAAAAATATACATCTGCCTGTGAAACGCTCAGAAACTTGCAGATTTTTTTTATGCATATGAAGCTTGTTTGTGTGTGTGGCAGTAGTAACACAAATACAGTACTACACATTCGTGCATTAGTGAAGCTGTGCATGTGGTTTTTCTCTCACCGAGCCACCTGGTTGATGACAGGAGCAAAGTTGGTCGGACCGTACAGCTGAACAGTCCGCAGGCTCTGGAAGTACGACTCCAGGACACCTTCGATCCCCACACAGTTTGGGTTTTCTGTGTTGGAGTTCTGCAAGAGAGGAATTTGCGCTTTGTGAGAAAACATTCCTGTGAAATCGCAGCATTCATGTTAAATTATGTTGGAGCCACTCCAAAGCCCTGCAGCGGGTCTAAAGCAGCCATAAGTCCACCGAGCCCCATGACAGGCGACACCATTCTGCAGCTCTGACCTGACCCGCTTTCAAGTAAAGGAAATTCAGAAATGTGTTCCCCAACACTTCATACGCATCAGAAAGCACTTGCTGAAGACATGAAAGAAGACGTGGACTGGAGTTAGACCATTTTACTGTTAGCATCATTTTTGTGTTCAGAGTTTTTCGGGGTGGACAAGAAATCATGACTCGATGACGCCCTGAAGCAGTGACCTCTTCCCCCAACACTATACAACCTGCGTTACATCAGGATGAGTGGTTCTCCTGCTCAATCCAAAGCTACTGCACCTATTACAGCCAAATTCTTCTTCTCTGGACGTCAGAATTTGCAGGACAGCTTCGTCTCCTTACTCAGATTTGTTCAGAATGACGAGCTGAAGAAGAGGTGGATTGATTTGTATGGAGTTAGTTTGATCACGTTGATAAAGCTGAGGATCGGCACCAACACCAGCCTCTGTAGTGGTCATTTCACACTTAAACAGACGTTCATTGGTTGAATTCGTGGATAATTTGCTGTTACTGGCGAACAGAACTGAATCGATTCTTCTATCTTCTGCAGTCCATTTAACTAATGAGTGTAAGTTGCCTTGTGTGCTTGGTTTATTATCGTAGGTTTACCCCATGACGCTTTTGTTTACGCATAATAATAATAATAATAATAACAATTCATTATTCATTATAATAGCCCAGAGCGTAATGCCACTGACTTCGTGCAGATGGGTCACGAATGTACCATCACCAA